GTTGTGCACCAAGTTACAATTGCACAAGTCCCACCATCCTGCCCTTTCCCTCCCAGACAGTCCTGGGAGGAGCTGAGGGTGTCAGTCGTATGTTCCTGAGTTCTCGTGGCTCCACTGGAGTATGCACCCTACTCCTTCTTTTATGCTCTGTCAGCCACCAAGGTGACTGTGTCCAGGAGGGGGGAGGTTAAGGAGGGAGGAAAATGGTGCGTACATTTTATCTACATTATCCCCCAGAATTCTCCCTACAACCATGTAATGTCTGTATTATGGCCCCCATTGTAAAAATGAACAAAGAGAGGTCCAGCGAGGATAGGTCAAGCAGGTCAAGCAGCTAGTAAAAAGTTAAGTTGGATTCAAGGCTGAATCTTCCTGATTAAAGGTAACGTTTAGTCCGTCACATAACACACTTTTCTTGCTTCCTCCAAAGCCCCTACTCTAGTCCACAACTGCCTTCCTGAAATATGAAATGCAGCACCCTCCCTCTAAAAAGTGTGCTTTACTTGTTCCTAAGTTTCCGTTCCATTCCAGGACCTTTCAATGGACTTTACAACTTTCTAGAAACAGCCTGCTAAGAGTTCTGTAAACAGAGCTATGCTGCTGGCCTCTGGCCTCAGTATTTCTCCAGGGCACCTGCCCATTCGACCCAGACAGTTCGTGCTCTTAGACTCACTGCTATGCTGATGCCCACCCCCTACCCACCTCAGCTCTTAAACGTGGTTCCCAGTTCTCAATTCAGACCCCTTGGTCTGATGGGCTATTAGGAAAAAAGCTTAGAAAAAGCTCTGAACTGCAACTGTTCTTTGCTCAAATAGAATTTTGAAATGGGACTCATAGACCGTAGGTAAGGGACCCTTTTTCCTTCTACTTAAGCATGCTAGTGAACCTCTGTAAGTCTCAGTTTCCTCACCTGTCAAAGGGATAGTAATTGTTCCTCTTCCCTTGGACATAAAAGGTCAGTCCTGTCCTATGCATATAAAGTGCTCAGAGTAGTAACTAGCACAGAATGAAAGCTCAGCAGACGTTAGCCCCATCCTTCTCCTCGTCAGCCACTCTGCACTGGGCTTCAGATCTTTCTAGGGAGTCTATATTCCTCATGCGAAGGCTCTCATGGCAACACATCCCGCGAGCTCTCCAAACACTGGAATCCATTGGGTTGGGAAAACTTTTTTTTTTTCCCCTCAAATAACGTAGAGACAGAATTAGGGCCACCACTCTACTGACTGGGTCTTCCCCCCTTCCTCCTTCCTCAGCTGCAGTTAGTTATAACCATTGGCAACTGCATCCATCCTTAACATCCATACTCATTAACTGGTTATTTGAATAGATTGTTTAACTCTACCCAGGAGATTCCAAATCCTGACTTCTTTCAGGAGCATATTTTAATTTTCAAAGTATAAACTTAATAATAAAGAATAGTATTATAAGTATTACAAATAAATCCAAAACAGATCCCAGAATTACAATGGAAGTATTTGCATAGTGCCGTGGAAGCACAGAGGAGCGTTAGTTAGCGCCGTTCTCTCTGAAAAAAGACTAACCTGATGCCGTTCTACTCTCGGAACATGCCTCCCTCCTTCAAGTTGTGGCTCAAACTTCAGCTCCTTTGGGAAGCCATTCCAATGAACAATTTAAACTTTCAGGAAAATATAGCAAATTCCAAGGACTGAAAACAGGGTTACTGGGTTCCATCTAAACTTCCTCCTGACAGGTTGGGGAATACAGTTTGATCTGGGAAGTAACTAGATTTGGAGTCTGCTGAGCCACACAAAAATAGGTGTTTCCCAGAAGTTCTCTTGAGCACGAGGAAGAGGAGGAATCTAGGAAACTCTTCCACCTTTTCAGCTGAAGCTTCTCAACATCTGGGAGGTTCTTACCCCAATCAGTGGTCTTGGGAATTTCCAAGCAGACTACACCGTGATGCACCCCTCCTTCCACTGTAGGTCTTTTCATTTTGTATGTGGAGGGTGGAGAGTGGGGAGTGGGTTTTTTTTCTGGGGAAAGCTCTGAAAAAGGCTTGTCATTTGTAATCTGTTAAGTCAATTATCACATTCAACTAATGATTAGATCCAAGAAAAATTAGCAACCATTTCACCCAAGGGGCTGCTTTTCTTCAGAGAGCAACAAGGGCCTTCTTAATTTTCCTAAATGTTTTGCTATCAGTGCTTCATTTAATGCCAGAAGGCATCAAGAACAATCCCATTCCCCTTCTCACCTACACCATTCCCATGACTGCACAGGCACGAGAATTCAGTGACAGAGATGGGGGAAGGCACTGATCTTTGCTTAGTCAAACCTTCAACTTTCCTAATGGGATTTAGGAAGACATGATTATTTTCATTCATTGTTCTCTCTACCGAATGTAAAAGGAGAGAGTCAGGACTCATGTCAGAGTTCCAGCTTTTCACACGATGGATCTAAACAATATTGCCTCTTATGAGCAAGTCTGGTTCTGTAGCACAAGCTCTGGTTATGAATGAATGATGACTCCTTCCCCCAGTCAGACAGTGACTCCAAGATTTGCATATCCAACCAAAATCTCTATCCTGAGAATCAGTTATCACTGAACACCCCAGTGCACCAAGGCGTAAGTTCATCATCTCCCTCCCCATATCTTCTTCCCTCTGTGCTCCCATACTGGTGAAGAGGCCACCCAGCCTTGCACTTCAGGAACCTGTGCACCATCTTGCAATTCTCCTCCCCCTCATCTCCAAGTCTTACTGAGTCTATCTTCTTATAATCAATAATACCATCTTTTCTCCGCCCCGACCTCTATGACACAGCTCAGCTCCTTATCACTTCATGCATGAATTCCTTGAATATCTCCTGCATGTGCCCCACCCCCAAGCTTGACCTGCCCCCTAAACTTTCCCTACCGCCCTAGTAATCTTTCTCCAATGTAAATCTCATTAAGTCACTACATTCTTTCCCTTATTGCTCATTTCCCTTCAGGATCGATTTCAAGTTTCTTACACTTCCTGAAGAGCCTCCATCCTCTGTATCTGGTCCTCCTCCTGGCCCCTGCCCTAAATGCACTCTATAATCTGTGGAAATATTTACATCCCTTCATCATGAACATTCTTTTATGACTGTGATTTAGTGTCCCTGTGGCACATGGCATAGAGAATGATTGGGTTTTATCTCTCAATCTGAGAATTACTGTCTTTTAGCAAGTGACATTAACTCGTTCATAGAATTGGACGTAAGTGTCCAAGTGTATATTAGTAATTACAGTGCTGTGAATGAGTTAATTCAGTCTCTGTTTGCTGCTCTTTCTGGTTATTTCCTTATTCTTTGTTTCTTCTCTGACTTCTCTTGAATTGATTGAGATTCTTCTGCCCTGCTTCTCCTGACCTGAATATTTAGTGGCTTAGGGACCGTACTCTAGGTCTATTTTTATAATTATTACTTTACACTTTTGATAAACGTACTTGAACATGGATTATTCAGGACAATTTTAAGGACAATCAGCATGTATATTCTCCCTATAACAAGAGTCTCAGCATGCTTTAAATTCCATCTGCCCCTTTATGCAGCACAAGCATGTTGCATTTGGAATCAGCTGAAGTATTTTAGTTAGAAAATTAATATTTTTAAACATCAAAATAAGGTTTTTCCTGGTTTATTTGTTCACAGTTGTTTCTTTTTTGTCTTTTTTTTTCTTTTTGCGGTACGCAGGTCTCTCACTGCTGTGGCCTCTGCTGTTGCGGAGCACAGGCTCCGGACGTGCAGGCTCAGCAGCCATGGCTCACGGGCCCAGCCGCTCCACGGCATGTGGGACCTTCCCGGACCGGGGCACGAACCTGTGTCCCCTGCATCGGCAGGCGGACTCTCAACCACTGTGCCACCAGGGAAGCCCCACAATTGTTTCTTTTATCCTACTTCTTCTTCTTGGATGTTTCCCCCCCCTCCCCGGCTCATAATTCTTTTCAAGGGATCTGCACATGGCAAATTTTCTAAATCTTTGCATATCAGAAAATCTGTGGATTTTACCCTTCAGCTTGAATAAACTTGATTAGATATAGCAATCCAGATTCAAAGTTAATTGTCTCCCTGACGTTTGAAAATATTGCCCCATTATCTGGTGTATCAATAGCTGCTGCTGAGAAGTCTGGTGTCAACCTGATTCACATCCCTTTATAGGTAATCAGCCCGCCCAGCCCACTGTACCTCACTCCAGAAGCTTTTGGAATTTCCTTTAATGACCTAAAATTTCACCATATAGTGTCTTATATGGATTTAATTTTTCATTTATTTGTTCTGCTTGACATCTAAGATTTGCCTTTCTGTCTAAGAAATTATTAGATTCTTAAATCCTATGAAATCACCTTCTAGTATGTGTTTTACATATTGCTGGGTACATTCTGCTCTTCAACTCGTGCTGCTGTTTCTTCTTTCAACAATGTACTTTTTAATATCTTGCATCTCTAGTTATTCTGTCTGGGATTATTAAGAGCTGCCAAATTGAGTTCTAAAAAGTGTCTTATTAAGTGGAAAAATCATGCTAGAATGAGTTATTATCTGGATTGAATAGCTTGGAAACAAATGTGCCCAATTTCATAAATCTAGTTTTCACTCTAGAAGTTTGTGACAGACCTGAGAAATTCAGGATTTTAAATCCTCAGATGGAGTAAGAGAAGGCAAGGAAAGCATAGCTCTGGACAAATAACTGGCCACATACTTCTGTGGTGGTCTTCCAAAGACCAATCACACCCTTGAAATCAAGGTACCTCTGGTGGTAGTGAAACTGCAGGACCCTGTGGGGCTCCTGGGCACAAAAGCCTTTCTATGTCCCCCATTTCTTGTTTGTAGGGAATAGGCTCCAGCCTCCATGACCTTCCCTGAGTTCCAAAGGGCAGGTTCAAACAGTTGCTAATCAGGGAAGGAAGGGACTCCAAGACAAGGGAGGACCAGTCAAAAAACAACAGTGCGGCCTTGGGACAGGGTCCTGGTTCCACCTCAAGGGATACACATAACAATATCTTTGTGCTCTTCTACAGAACTAAAACCCTCAAGAAGTGGAAGACGTTAACTACTTGATGAAGCATTCTTCATTCCAGAGAAAAAGTCATGGTTTGATAACCCTGAGAACCTCAGAAGCTCATCAGGACGCCACCTGAGGCCAGATGAAAGGAATGCAGGCCCTGCACACACCCCGATCTTTATTAGCAACTCCACCCTTGAACCATCGCTATAAAACCCCTCACCAAATCTCCCCAGGGTGGGACACACACTTTTGAGGGGCACAAGCCCTCTGTGTCCCCCTTTGCCTGGCAAAGCAATAATACTATTCTTTTCTACTTCACCCAGAACTCTGTCTCCAAGATTTGATTTGGTGCTGGTGCACAGAGGCAGTCTGAGCATCAGTAGGGGTACAAAAGTAAACGACTTGAACACACCCTAACAAAACAAAGAAGACAGTGTCCCCGTGGCATCTTCAATGCATCCACACCTCATCCACTTAAGTTGAATTAGTGCTTCCCAGTGCCACGTGATGCACACGAGCCAGGGAGAGCACGAATCCGTCTTCGCTTTTGGTATTCGGAGACCCTGGGGTATTTATATTCTCAGCTACACTGTTTTATTAGCCTAGTGTATGCATTTAACACCTAGTTTCATACTGAAAACATGTAGATGGTGAATGACTTTGAGCTCCTTGAAAAAGCCATGAGCTCCAAATAACAAAGGCAGTGTGTTAGAAGATGTTGTTATTAACTCCCTAGACATCCTTCAGAGTGTCAAAAGCATCTTCCCAAGGAGCAGGGAGTCTAATATGGGTACAGATTCCCCAGATCTTGACATTCAATTTCAGGGTTTTAATTTACTCCAGACTCACACATCCTGTGTCCCATGAAAGACAACAGTCAACTGCAAGATCTCATCACCACCCTCCCCGCAGACTGTCCGAAACTCTGGGGACTCCAAGGGAAAGATGGAGAGATTCTGTCAGATCATTAGCACCCTATTTTCAGAGGTCTTCCGCGAGGCGGAAGTGGAAATACTTAACCTGAGTCTGTGATCAAGTCCCTCAGCTATCAAAGACATGCATCTGGAAAGTTTATTACATATTAAAAAAAAATCCACCTGTTATAGTACTGGCCTTCATGACCCTTTCTGGTCAAGGCATTACCCTTACCCTGATGAAACAGGAAAAGGTATAAACAAAGCCCCATGCTAGTTTTCTAACATAAAAGAAAGAGAAGGGAACTGATTAACTTAGTAAATCTAATGTTTACCACTTGGCTTCACTCTCTCTCTCTCTCTCTCTCTCTCTCGTCTCTCACACACACACACAATTATAGATATAGAGATAGTCACAGACACAGACTGGATGTTCATTTTCCCCAATATAATCCTTTGAGGTAGATGATTATCTCATTATTGGATGCGCAAACTGAGGCACAGAGCAATAAAACCCCCTCGGGGAAGTGATAATGTGTTCTCAGTTGTTATTTTTCCCAGTTGCTACTCAGGAACTAAATCTGTTTCATTCATCCCAGGATCCTTCTGCCTAGCAGAGTTTGGAACATAGTGGGTGGTCAGTGAAATGTGAACCCCTGTCTCTAAAGCCTGTCATTCTACATTATAACTTGTATTACTGCCACATCAACACCAGCTCATTTACTCAGTGAAATTTCACTGACTACCTCCTATGTGCCAGACCCTCTGTTAGGCAGAGTGATACAGGAATGAATGAAACAGAAATAGTCTCTGACCATCTAATGGGATAAATAACAAGAATTCATTATTAGCTGAGCGCTAAAAAAAAAAAAAGGAAAAGGTTCCTGCAAAGGAGATGACCTTCAGAAGTGGGAGAGGAGTGGGTGGGTGATATCCCACCTTACATTAGATATCAGGGCTAGGGAAATCCTATCTCTCAGGAGGTCATCATGACCTTTTGTCGTATCCACACACCTCAAACCACATGGTCAAGATCTGTTGCCTTTGGAGCACACACACACCAAATACTGCATTTCCTAGAACCTGGCATAGCCAGATTTAGCAAGTTAAAACACGGGATTCCCAGTTAAGTTTGATTTTCAGATAAACAATGACTTTTTACTATAAGTATATCTCAAATATTACATGGGGTATACTTACACTAAAATATTTTTGTTTATCTGAAATTCAGAATTAACTAGGTGTCTTACACTTTCTCAAACTTACTAGAGAATCATTCAATCATTTTAAAGGTAAATGGAATAAAATGTAGAAATAGAGGTTGGAGACCTCAATTTGATTGGGTGTTAATTACATATTTTAATTACTGAGAAGAGTTAACTTTCAAAGAAGAAAGCAATGTCTGCATAACCTCTTTATCTGTCATGATTAATGCAGCCAATGAAGACAACAGGACACCAAGCCTTGTACACAACAGACACTCCATATCAACTGTGGTGGTTTATTTTCATTATTGCTGGGGGTGTGCTCATCAATCCATTATGCTAAAATCAAAGGAACCTTATTATTTTCCAGGCACTGTATGTACACGATCTCTCTCAATCCCTCCAGCACCCTTATGAGAAAAATACTATCATCCTGAGTTTACAGATGAGGAAACTGAGGCTGAGTGGTGAGAGAATCTGTGTTTTAACCTAATTCACCCCTCATTCCAAGTCCTGTGGCTTCTCCATCATAATAAGTGCAAGCACAGGGTGTTTGGGTTTTAATTTAAAACCTTACCATAAAGGAAGGAGAATGAATTCAAGAGAGATAATTCTAATTAAGCAGTGCTAAATATATCTAGCATATTTTTGCAGTAAGGTTCTCTTTGCTGTATGTGGTTACTTGTGACAGGTCACCCACCTATCTTCTTTGCAGGCATAAATAACTCCAAGCATTTGCAAGGAGGTGTGGAAAGCTGCAGAAAGAACAAAGGAACTTTGGTACAGAAATGCCACATTTGCTAGAATAAACAGGAGCCAAAAACAGCAATGGATTGCGGGCCTTAGGCTCTGCCCTACTGACCCAAAACAAAGAGGGGATGGGACGGAGGGAATGAACCCAATACCGCTGCCCTTAAGTGTAGTGAGTAGGTACCACTGCGAGGTGGAAAGGGACTCAAGTTGTCTGGGACACTCCTTAAGCTCCTTGCCCTCCAATGTAATGTTGCATCAGCTAAACATTAAGGGTGACAAAGCCTGTGAATTCCTGGGTTGTCCATCCAGTAACCGGAAGTCCCCAGACAGGGAGGAGGTGTTGCACAGAGTGACGGACAGAGTCGCAACAGCCTGCAAAGCTCTTCTTCTGGGTAAATGTGAGTAATAAAAATAACAACAAAACTGACATCCCCAGTGTATAATTTCCGGACCTCCCTGTAGTGTAAGTATGATAGTCATAATTAACGCTCATTTTGCAGCTGAGGTCCCAGAAGACCTGAGAGGTTGGTTAAGCTATTCTCCCAGTTTCAGAGCACACCGCCGGAGAGCTGGAAACAGAAGCTGGGTCCAGAGCACGCACCAGAGGTGCTGGATCTCGTGCTATTAAAGGTGTCTCATCTATCTGACTGTCCATGTTTTCTACCTTCTCTTTCATTGCTAGAGATGAACCTATCTGAGGCCAATTTCCCCACTTGCACAAAAGCCCATGCTCCTTTTCCCACCCAAAGACATCATTCCAAATATTAAGCCCTCCAGTCGTGCCTTTGCTCCTTGATCATCCTCATCCAAATGCTGCCTATGTACAACCATGCCTGCACATACACACGTGGATACGTACACGTAAACAGAGAGGTCTTCTCTCTCCCCATCTCACCCCAGTGCTGCCCCATTTCTCTACTCCTTTAACATAAAAAAGGATGGATTGCTAAGTGGATGTACAATTGGACAAACAGCCATGAGAAGGCAAATCTATTCAAAGGTTAAGTATAGAGAGCATATGGGTATTTACTGTACTCTTCTTTCAACCTTTCTGCATATTTGAAAATTTTCAAAGTAAAATATGGGGGAGGGGGAAACTGTCTCCATTTTCTTTCAACTCCTTTCCTCCTATTATCTTCTGAAACCACCCCAGTAAGACTTTCACCACCACTATCCACCAGTTCCTATCAGTCACCCATGACCTTCACATTGCTGAATGCAGTGGTCACTCCCCAACCCTCTTACTTGACCTGCTGGCAGTGTTTGACTCTCTCCTTCTTCTACCACTTTCTCCCCACCCCCACTCAGTTTCCGGGATGTCACTATTTTCCTTATAGGTCATTGGCTTCTCCTTCTTAGCCTCTTTACCTGTTTTTTTTCCTCACCTTCCCAACAGCTCAACAGTAGTGAGCCTTAGGACTTATTCCTTAGACTTCTCTTCATACTCCTATGCTGAGTTCGCCCAGTCTCATGGCTCTAAGTGATATCTTTGTAGATGACTTCCAAATATATGTCTTTAACCCAGACCTTGCTCCTGAACTCTGGACTCCTATGTCCAGCTGCCTATTCTATATCGGCCTATTCTATATCTGTATCATCCCAATCTTAAAACGTCCAAAGTCAAACTCCTGGTTTTATACCAGCACTCCCAGTCTCACCCAAATCTGCTTATCACCTTACGAACAAGCCCAGCTTAGCCACCTGGAGGACGAGAGGCCACGTAGAACCAAGGCATTCTGTCAACTGCCAGACATCTGAGTGAGGCCATCCCAGATCAGCAAGTCACCAGCCAAGAAACCAGCCACGGTAGATGCATGTGTGGTCTCAGGAGAGATGAGCTGAGTCAACCAAGCCAACTCACAGGATTATGAGACCAATAAAAGCCTGCTTTGTTAAGCCATTAAGACTTGGGATGGTTTGTTCTTGATGAAAAGTTCCAGAATACCTAAATTATTCTAGAAAGTACGTGTGATTTTAAGCAGAAAGGGTCACTCTTGAAGAAAATTACCTAATTCTTTACATGCATGAATTGGGAGCTGGTCTTGTCTTCTGCCCTTATTTTCTTGAATAGGGTCCCTTAAGCTGCCCCTGTTTTCTCACCTTGGAAAGTTTTCATGCTAGGACAGCTTCTTTCAACTACCTTTGAGAGTCTTGGGTGGAGCCTTATGCATGCTTCCTCTAGGATGTGAAGACACCTGAGTTGATACACTACCTTCTCAGTGAACCTGCAGACAGGTCTATACAAAAGTGTCCTCTTTTTTTTAGTTTAACGCCATGTGACAGTCCCTGGATTTTAAAGCTGATTAGTATGGTCTACATGGCAAATACTCCTCCATTTTGTATCGATTAACTTTTGAGATCGAATCGAAACATGCTGAATTATTAAAAAATTAATTTTTGACTCTGGACTGAATGCCAATCTGTTTTCAAAATTTATTATATTTCTAAAATTTTTCCCTTAAATTGTATTAGGAAGCCATTGAGAGGTACCAGTTTTGCCCTTGATCTGTTAGAGTGGTCCAAGGACTTCACAACCACATAGGCCCCACATATGACCCAGAGCAGTTACATTTGACTTAACAAAATATTGCTAATGAATCAGCAGCCTGAGTGGATTGCTGGAGGAAAACAAAGATACTGCAGGGCCTACTAAACCCTAAAGATGACTACTGCCACACCTTTTCTCCTTCTCATTTGCTTGGCTCCCTTCTATATTCGATCACCTGGAGGGATCTAGGCCCATAGACCCCCTGCCTGAACCCCTCCCACCTAGCCTCATTTACATGATTCCCCTCTGTGCCCTCACACCTCCCTTTCGGACATCCGGTTAGCTCGTAATGTATGGCATCGCCACTATGAGTTTATCAGCCTTCTGCCCTACTAGACTGATATTCCTTGAGGTCAAGCACTAAGTCTTATTTATATCTGCATGTCTTATACCCAGCACAGGATTTGACATAATGCTGGTGCTCCAAATAGGGCTGTTGATCGAATGAAATAAATAGCCTCATGTCTCCTTATCAAGTACAAATCTCCCCCAAGAAGCTTCAGGACCGATGACATCTGTACAAGTGTGTTACCATCATCATCATCATCATGATCACTCATTTCATTTCGATAGCTGTGCTTCCTGGATTTCATTTGTTTCCCCAATCTTTATTATCTCGGAAGCAGCGGGAGGCTGGGCAGAAATCCAGGCCTCCTGGCTCAGAGTCAGTTAATCCTTCTGCACAACATTATTACCGTTAGCCTGATGGAAACCCAGAGAGGTCATCAAAGCCAAAGTGGCAGAGACAAGTCTAGAATAGCACATCACAGCCACTGCCCCCAGGAATGAGCGGCAAGAACGTTACCATTCAGAAAACAATAACTCTGTCCTATCCTTGTGCTCGTCGCTCTGTTTCACCTCTTAAAAAAAAAAAAACCCAGACTTTAGTTTTTCAAGCAGTTTTAAGTTCATGGCAAAATTAAGAGGAAGGTGCAAGAGATTTCCACATATCCCCTGGCCCCATACACACCTAGCTTCCCCCTGTTATCAACATCCCCACCAGAGTGATACATTTGTTACAACTGAGGAACCTACACTGACACATCATTATCACCCAAAGTCCATAATTCACATCAGGGTTTACTCTTGGTGTTGTACATTCTATGGGTTTAAACTATGTTGAATGACACGTATTCATCATTGTAGAATCAGAGAGAGTAGTTTCGCTGCCCTAAAACTGCTCTGCACTTCGCCTATTCATCTCGCTCCCCAGCCCCTGGCAACCGCTAATCTTCTTCCTGTCTCCATAGTTTTGCCTTTTCCAGAATGTCGTATAGTTGAAGTCATACAGTATGTAGCCTTTTCAGATTTGATTCTTTCATTTAATAACATGCATTTAAGTTTCCTCCATTCTTATTCATGGCTTAATAGCTCATTTCTTTTTAGTACTGGATAATACGCCATTGACTGGATCTACCACACATTAGTTATCTATACATACTCAAGGACATCTTGGTTGCTTCCAAGTTTCGGCGATTATGAATAAAGCTGCTATAAACATCCGTGTGCAGGGCTCTGTGTAGATAAAACTTCTTTACTCCTTTGGATAAACATCAAGGAGTGTAACTGCTGGATCATATAAGAGTACGTGTAGTTTTGTAAGAAACTGCTGAACTGCCTTCCGGAGTGGCTGCACCGATCTGCACGCTTCACCTCTTTGTAATTCTTACATTTCACCTTTTTAATTCTTACAACACCACTATGAGATCAGGAACAGTTTTACAGATGAGAAAATGGAGCTGCAGTGAATTTTCTAGGCAAGGCAGTGAAGAAGTGACTCACCACTCACCACCCTTCAAACCAACTTGCCATCCTAGATGTTCTACAGATGTTCCTACACAGCTTTAAAAAGTTGCCCACAGCCCTATCTCCAGGTAAAAGAGAAAATCTATGACCTCCATTAACACGGTCAACTTTATTGGAGGCTGGGTAAAGAGGAGAATGCTGTTAGGAAAAACAAACAGAAAACTATGCCTCTTGAGGACCGAACGGCCCTTTAAGTCGGAAGGAGGACTTAAGCAAGCATGCTTTGTGAATATGAAACTGTCCTTATCCAAAGTGTCTGAGCCCTGGAAAGTTTAAATATGTGTGTGTGACGCTCCCAGCCCATGGGTTTCATAGGCGTTCTGAGAGCTTGGAGGATTTCGGAGGAGGATACCTCAGAGGTGTTGCATGGGGCACCCAAATAGTGCACGGAGCACACTTAAACTAAAAAATGTCCTTTATCTGAAATTCAAATTTAACTGGGTGTCTGGGTTTTGTTTGTTTGTTTGTTTTACTATATCTTGCACTTACAAAGGTCTCATTTTGACAGTGAGGAAGACTGGTCCTCCAGTGTCACTGACCAGAACTGTGACCCGTGTTCATGCCTGTATCCACCCTTAGCAAGGGGGGTGGAACTTCCATGCATGACTTGAATCACTGTGGATCATCTCTCTGAGCCTCCGGAAGCACAGGGTCGTGGGTATAAAGTAGGGCTTGTGAGCCACAGGGACGGGAGATGGGATCTAGAAAGGCAACCATCAGCGTCAGCCCCATGACCATCATCGTTCCATGGCTCACACCCTCTTTTCCAGTCCCAGCCGAGCACACAAGTTCTTAGGATTTAGGCTGAAGCACCTATAGAAGGACTTGGATACACGAAGCGAGGAAACGTCTAGTCTGCTTTATTCTTTACTTATTTACTTTACTTACTTTATTTACTTTACTTATTTACTTTATTCTTTACTTATATACTATCCTTCAGTAGCCACTTCCTGTCCCTCACTTCCTTCAAGACAGCGCCTCAGAGGTCTTGCTGTAGAAAGTGAGCTGCCCTGCCTTGCCGAGCGATGGCTCCAGCTCTGCATCACGTGTACCTTTGGGCAAGAAGCCTCCTCTTCCCGGGCCTCCAGCTACTCCCTTGTGAAAGGGGCGTGTTACTATAAAGGAGGAAAGTCCCTTCTCCCTCTGTCTTTTAGCATAGTCGCCTTCCGGCCCCTCCCACCTACACCAGCTTTGGCATCTCTTCATAGTCACTCTTTCTTTCATTCTTTTCTCTCTTCTCCTTCTTCTTCAGAGTCCTAAGAAGTGGCAGCTATATCCTGGGCACTATTCAGCAGGTGCTGCCGATAAAAGATAAAGAAAATGTGTTCCCCGCAGCCATCCCTGAGCCCACAGTGCAAGAGAAGAGACAGACATGCACACAGCTAAGTGCCGTTCAAGGTGGGAGTGCCACTGCAGTTATAAAGAAAGTATTAGAGGATGCCAGAGGACTGAGGGAGCAAGCACCCCTGTGTAAGGGAATCTGGGAAGAGTTTAGAGTTGAACTGGCTCTGGAAAGGTAAGTAGGGCTTTACCATTCAGGTGAGGCGCCTGGTGTGTTCAGGGAGCAGTTAAGAGCTTCATTTGGATGAGAGAAGTTTCCATGATAATGACTGATGATGAAAGGAGGGGGAGGGACTGCTTCCATAGCAATGGGGATAAAAGAGCAGAATGAATCCATCAGCTGAGGTGAGCATCTAGAAGACAATTATTCCTAATGTCTCAGTTCTTAAAATGCCTTTCCTGGCAACATAAATTCACTTTAGGTGATATTGAAGCCTCTGAGAAAAATAGGGCTGCCAGCCATGCATCTCCTAGTGACGTGATGCAAGATCCTGGAGCAGTGCTTAAATGCAGTGAGAAGGTGGCATACTTCGAGGCGTTTGCCTCATTTGTAACATGGATCCCAGCAGAGTGGACACGTTCCACAAGCAGTTCCTGTCTTTCTATCTCGTGGTGTTTTATCACGTCCTCAACATAAATGAGGCGCCTGGAAGGATGAGTGGTGGCTTTCAGGTTGAAAATCAGTGTCTATTCCTTTTAGAGGGAAGCTGATATCTCAGTTTTTAAAGGTGACATGCCATTACAGAGATGCATTGAAAGGTTAAAATTCGAGCACACTCTCGAACATTCTAAGTGGCACACGAGCTAGAAAGGAGCTCTCATTAGTTGTAATGGCCCTTCTACCTTGAAATGCGGGAGAAGGACACACACTGAGAGAAAATATAACAACACGTGTTGGGTAAATAAACACACTCGCAAAGAAATCGAACAGACTGGGTTTCATCCAAAATGGCGCAGCCCCGTGCATCTCTGGAAAAAGGGAGCCGAGCCGTATGTAGACGGAGCTCGGATTTGTTAGACGTCTCCTTTCAAAAATGGCCACGGCCAAAATGCTGGTGTATAAGCTAAAACAGCAATTACCGATGAGCACCTCAACAGCCCAGGATTAAGAGACTTAGTCTGGTGACTCTTATATACCTCAGATGATATATTATCACAATGATTCTCTTATTAACAGGAAGAAGTTGATGACTAAGTAGGTTGCTATGAAACGGGTCCAGGAATTGACACAGTTTAGTGAATGAATAGTTTTGCAGGGGGAAAAAAATGAAGAAACTGGTAAGAAGAAAAATTAAAACATGAGAAGATAATAATTTTTAGTAAGTCAATAACTCTAAAATAATGTCTGGGTGTGTAACACCCAGGTTGCTATGAAACGGGTCCAGGAATTTACACAGTTTAGTGAATGAATAGTTTTGCAGGGGGAAAAAATGAAGAAACTGGTAAGAAGAAAAATTAAAACATTAGAAGATAATAATTTTTAGTAAGTCAATAACTCTAAAATAATGTCTGGGTGTGTGACATACATTTTTGTTGTGTTGGTATTTGAGAGGGAGCAAATATTTGATCCTTAGCTTTTGCTATTCTGAGTATCAGTGGATATATGTACTCTTTAGAAAGTAAAGAAAGGAGATATGAAAAAAAAATGGCCATGGCACTGTGCAAGAGCATGGGGAGGACAGCTGGATTTCCAGCAAGGGCCATTTAGTTA